ATTGCAGTAGTGGAGAGAATCAGCTGGATAGGCAACTGTACTGGCTGGCATCATGCTGAGGCAGGTTGGGACCCTCCTCTTGGTTTTATTGTGTACCTGCCTAACAGTTCTGAGTGCCTGGGATACTGGTGTTGGGAAGGGGCTGTGGCAGTTTCTGTCAAGAGCACTCGCAGCTGACATCATTCTCCTCTCCCCTATGAGGTATGTTATGCAACTGAAAATTCCAACTGCCTTGGGGGGGGGAGTTTGAGGTGTGGAATGGAGTGAAGTCCAATCAGCTTCCATATGCAAATGACCTTGGAACGCTGGGTGGGACTGCACAAAGCAGCCAGTCAACCCAGCCAGTGTCTTCTGAGTGGCAGTTCTTCCGGCCTAACACTAAAGGCGGGCATTTTAGAACTTTGGTTCCCACTATTCAATTATTATAAGGGAGAGACTAGTGTGGCTGTGCACACAGAGTCAGACAAGCACAAATAAACACTGGTTGTTAGAAAACAGTCCCAAAGTTCCTGATCCCGTTCCCAGTCTTGTCTGAAATCCGGATACTCGAAACCCTCTTGTGGTGCAGCACCCCTGCTTCTGTCTCAGAAGACTAATGGAGGATTTACCTGTCCTGTCCAAGAGAGTACCTGTGGCCAGGTGGCTCTTCCTGATCCTGGATCCTCGTCACTGGACTCCTGGAGGGTCCGTTCTACTGATGCTCAAGCCAAGACAATGAGGGAGAAGCTGAATACAACAATTTGGTGCACCAGTCCCAACCTGGAGCTGGCAACCCCACATGTGGCTGTGCCACAGATGCCTAAACAGTCACATGGATTACCTGGACTGGTAAGGTTGTGCAACTCATTTGTACAACTGGATGAAACCATTTGTACTGCTTAAAAGTAGAAGATTTCTAAATTGAGCTCCTAAAAAGCATGGTGCTTATACCCAACATAACAATATTGTGTTTGTAACTGCTTTTTAATAGTCATCTTATTGCCATAGACCAAGTCATTGTATATCAGATGAGAGGTTATAAAGGAACAAATATGAATTATAAGTCTATAATTATGTCTGGTGCAGGCAGTAAGAACGCCTGCAAAGTAACATCAATGAACAGCCATTACGGCTGTTCGAAACCCACCGCCGTCAGGGTGAGCTCCCGGCCCACGTCCCAGCTCCCGTCCATCCAGTGGTTCGAAAGCATCCTAAATGCAAGTAGATAAAGTGGGTATCTGCCCTAGGTGGCAGGGGGCACCCCTCCTCCTTGTGAGGTAGAGGGTTCGGCGGCAACGATGGCGGCAGAGCAGTTCCTGGTGACATGGTGGAGCAACGTCGGAGGTGGAGCCCAGAGAAAAGTGGAGCCTTGGAGAGTGTGGTGACGTGCGGTGCAGCACAGTGGAGCCACCTGTGGACAGTAGCCAGAACTGCAGCCAACACAGAGCCACATGCCAAGACGAGACCTGCCGGAGGAAGCTGCTTGGGGAAGATCAGCTCCAGGAGGGGCACCAGGACGCCAATATCTGAAGCCGCGGAAGGAAGCCGGATGACAACTAGCCCGGGGTGCTGGTAGGCAGTCACCACCCTGTAGACAATGTGGCTCTAGTCAGGTTAATTGGTTGGTTAGAACCACTGTGTAAAACCGCCCAGAGACCCTTCAGGGTCAGGGCGGTATATAAGCCGAAGGTATAAATAAATAAATAAATAAAAACAAAATGAGAGGAAAACTCAACATTACTTGAATTTCTACAAAGAATTAAAGATCTGTATTACAAAACTGGTTTTACTGTACCCGTGAGCTTGGCAGCTGATAAAAGTAACAGTACTAGAAGAGGAAACAGATATTTGTTTCGTATTGAAAAAACCAAAGGGGAAAATAGCAATGTATTCTACTGCACAGGTTGCCAAAACACCATTTGTAATACCACTGTTCTTGCCACGAAGCTGTGGATCCATGATTTTTGTGGTGCAAGCTGTTGCCATGGACATGTTATGTGATTAGATTGTGTGTTTGGGGTGCCCATTGCAAATACCCCGAGGATCCATGAGGATTCATGCTTCAGGACCCTGTTTTGGCTTTATGGTGTATCCATGACTTCGTTGGCACAAGCTGTGGCCATGGACATGATATGTGATTAGATGGTGTGTTTAGGGTGATCCAATGCAAAACCCATGAGGATCCATGAGGATTCGTGCTTCAGAACCATGTTTTGGCTGCGTGGATTTGCCACGAAGCTATGGATACATGATTTCTGTGGCTCAGGCTGATGATATGTGATCTGATGGTGTGTTCATGGTGATACAGTGCAAAAACCCTGAGGCTCCATGAAGATCCATGCTTCAGAACCATGTTTTTGCAGATTGGTGTCTCCGTAAAGCTGTGGATCCGTGATTTTTGTGGTGTAAGCTGTTGCCATGGACATGTTATGAGATTTGATTATGGGTTTGGGGTGTCCCAACGCCGAAACCCTGAGGATCCATGAGGATCCGTGCTCTAGAACCGTGTTTTTGCAGAATGGTGTTGCCACGAAACTGTGGATCCGTGAATTTTGGTGTACAACCTGTTGCCATGGACACGTTCTGTGATTTGATGGTGTGTTTGAGGTGTCCTAATGCAAAAACACCGAGGATCCATGGGGATCCATGCTTCAGAATCATGTTTTTGTTGATGGTGTTGCCACGAAGCGGTGGATCCATGATTTCTGTGGTTCAGGCTGTGCCCGTGGACATGATATGTCATTTGATGGTGTTCTCATGGTGACCCAGCGCCGAAACCTTGAGGATCAATTAGGATCCATGCTCTAGAACCTTCTTTTTCCATCATGGTGTCGCCAGAGCTGTGGACATATGATTTTTGTGGTGCAAGCTTTTGCCATGGACATGTTATGTGATTTTATCTTGTGCTTCGGGTAACCCATTGGAAAAACACTGTGGATCCATGAGGATCCGTGCTTCAGAACCATGCTGTGGCTTCATGGTGTTGCCATGAAGCTGGGGACCCATGAATACTGTGATGTAAGTTTTGCAGAACGGTGTTGCCATGAAGCTGTGGATCCGTGATCTTTGTGGTATAACCTGTTTCCATGGACATGTTATGTAATTTGGTGTTGTGTTTGTGGTGACCCAATGCAAAAACCCCGAGGAACTGTGAGGACCCGTGCTTCAGAACCATGTTGTGGCTTCGAGGTGTTGCCACGAAGCCATGGATCCATGACTTTTGTGGTGCGAGCTGTGCCATGCACATTTGATGTTGAGTTCATGGTGACCCAATGCAAAAACCTTGAGGAGCCGTGATCTGTGCTTCGGAACCATGTTTTTGCAGCACATTGTTGCCACGAAGTTGGGACCCATGAATACTGTGGTGTAAGTAGCGGCCATGGACATGGTGTGGGATTTAATGGTATGTTTGGGGTGTCCCAACACAAAAACCACAAGCATCCATGAGGATCCATGCTCCAGACCCATGTTTTGGCAGCATGGTGTCACCACAAAGCCGTGGACATGTGATTTCTGTGCTGCATTCTGTGGCCATGGACAAGGCATATTATTTGATGGTGATGTTAGGGTGACTCAATGCAAGAATCATAAGGAGCCATGATTTCTGTGGTGCAGGCTGTGGCCATGAACATGATATGGGATTTCATGGTATGTTTGTGGTGTCCCAACAGAAAAAAACCCAAGTATCCACGAGGATCTGTGCTTCAGAATCATGTTTTTGCAGAATGGATTCACCATGGATTTGATGGTGATGTTAGGGTGACTCAATGCAAGAATCATAAGGAGCCATGATTTTTGTGGTGCAAGCTGTGGACGTGGACGTGTTATGTGATTTGATGGTGTGTTTGGGGTGACCCAATTGAAAAACCCTGAGGATCCATGAGGATTTGTGCTTTGGAACCATGTTTTTGCAGTTTTGTGGTGCCACGAATTCGTGGGGGCATGTTTTTTGTAGTGCTGCCTATAGTCAAAGACATGGTCTGCAGTATGATGGTGGTTTTATTTTGTTTCAGCATAAAAATCATATGAATTCATGAGGATCCGTGCTTTCAAATAATGTGTTTGCGCTGTTGTGGTGCCCCGAATCTGTGGTGATTTTTGTGGTGCCCCCTATAGATTAACACATGGCCTACAATATGATGGTAGTTTTATTTCGTTTCAATGTAAGCAGAGTATAAATGAAGTCGATAAACTGGGCTTTCCTGTACTTTTGGAATGACAAGAAGAAACTTTCCATGATGGGACAGTCGCTGCACTATAACAATAATTCATAAATGGATTATCCTGCATGGACAAGAGACAATCCAGTTGTGAATGACTTCTGTAGTGAAATGACACGTACTACCGCGATGTGTGGCTTCTGTCTACTTGCAATTCTCTTGACTGTTTCACACAAAAACGCTTTGTGTTGTTTTTTTAACGGCATTCCTATCTGTCTGTGAGCTGAGAAGATGTCCCACTATTCTGTGCTATACGGTACTACCGATCTCTGTCATCCAAACAGTTCGGTAGTAGTAGCGATAGCCCTCCCCATCAGGGAGATTCGAGCAGGGACAGGGACCGCTGCGCAATCGTCAGTGACGTAATCCCTGTGCGCCGGCGCCTTGCACCGCCTCCGCCGCCATGGAATCCAACAGGGACGAGGCGGAGCGCTGTATTGCTATCGCGGTGGCCGCTATCAAGGCCAACCAGACGGAAAAGGCGCGTCGCTTCCTGGAGAAGGCACAGCGCCTCTACCCATCTCAACGTGTCCGCGGTGAGCGGGATTAAGGGAGGGCAAGGCCTGGAGGCCGGGGCCTGCGTCGGCCTGGTTGACCTCTCACCTGCAGTGCGCTTGCGCACAAGCTGTGGTGGCGCGGAACACTATGGGATTGGAAGTCCCTAGATGGTCTGTCACGAGGGGGAAACGCGAGTTACGAGGCAAGTTTTGCGGGAAGTCTTTGCGGGCGCGAGGAATAATGGGAGCCAAGGCTGCGAAAGCTAGTTTGGAGTTTGGGGGGAGAGTAATGAGATGGTATTTTTCTCCAAGCTTAGGGTTTGAGACTACAACTCCCAGAAGCCATCGCGCCAATATGTGAAGGGGGTAGCAGTACATCCATGAGCGAAATAAGCCCCAAGCAAGGGAACCCCCCCCCCCCCTGAAAGCCCCTCCTCCAC